TTAAGGAACCTACAAGAAGATAAACAATGATTCAAGACACGTCGACAAATTACAGTAAGACTTGCAGATGGTTTCTTTTGAGAAAGACGTTTGATTTCAACGGTTACCACTCAACCGGAAAGTTCGCGTAACGTAAGACAAGTCAGATCGAGTTTGACAACAGACGCACTAAACTCTCAATGTAGCTGGCAAGAGTCTGTCACAAACGCCCAAATGCTTCACAAAGGGCTTCAGCAAAATCAACATATCAGAAGCAGTCATCTACATTTATTTCAACGAAACAATTCGTTTTAAACTTTCCCTTTTAACCATTTTCCACCTCAAAGTTGGCAAACTCGTGAGAATTCCATAGGCGAAAAAAATCAAAAAATTCAAAGAAAACAAAAAAGGATCCCAAAGACTGAGTAAACATCGAAACGCGATGCGTACAAAATAAAAACCTCAGTAAAATCCCAATAATTAAATAAATAATACCAATTAGCAGATAAAATGCAATAAAAATCACAAACGCTCCAGAAATAAGGAGTCATAAAGAAACCGAAATAAAATACAAAATATTCTTGGAAATCGTCCGTGTACGAGAAGAAAACACAACAACACAAGGCTACTGTGATTATTTCCCCTCATATATCGTGCAAAGAAAGTAAATTTCAAATCACTAAAATAACAGCGTTAAATTTAATAATTAAATTTAAAAAACAGCAGCGTAAATAAATGAATGAATGCGGCGTAGTAAACTAACTTAACTGTCGAACGGGGTTTGGAACAGAAGATCGGTCAGGAATAATTTTGATCTTTTCCGCTTTTGTACCGAGAATTTTCTTCATTTGTTTGTTTTGGCCTTCGACAATCAGATTAGTCTTTTCTGCCTTGTTGGCAACTCGGTCAAGAAGTTGATTCTGTTGATCGACCTCACTTCCCAACGCCAATCCCAGTTCCTTCAATCGCTGCAAGCTGTTTCCCATCAAATCTACAAACGAAAAGCCATGCAAGATCAAGACACGACTCTGACACCAAAAAGAGGTCAGGGTTCAAACGACCACATACCCAAGTTGTTTTCTATTTCGTCATCCATTTCGCCCCAGCGAGTGCCAGCGATTGCAGCCTTGCTTGTTTCGGAAAGGGTGCCTGAAGCGCTACGTGACGAATACCCGTTCTGATAGGTGTCGCCGTATGGCACAGTCGAATCCGACTTCAGCCGATCAACGGTCGACTCTAACTTCTTATCACGGGACATCCCTGCGGTGGGCACTTGCGACGACGACTTACGACCTTTGTCCTTATCTCTGCTGAAGTAATTCTTGATACCGCCAAAGATGCTCTTCACGTTATTCAAGTGACGTTGAGTTTGCTTCGTGCTCTCGTGAATTTCGTCAAGCTTCGTATCAACATTTCGCAGCTTCTCGCCCTGCTCCACTAGGTCCTAGAAACAGTAATGATCAAGAACAAAACAACATGCACCTATCCGTGCACTCATATTTTTTCTTTGCATATATAATATATTTTTCCAGGCTTCTAACAATTTGTTTATTACAATTACGAGTCTGTTTATGTCGTTTGAAACTACTGAAACTGACCACTGATTATGAACTTATAATATACGAACATTATTTTCACAACAATTAATGACCAACCTTCATTTGAGTTTCGCTTTGTAAGTGCTCAAGGCTGAGCAATAGAACAGCATACGTCACATTGAAAATGCAAGGCTGACTCACTCTCCTCAGCCTCCCA